ACCAATTTTCTGGATCACGATATTCGGGGCGAATACGATGAATTCTGCCCATCAATCGCTTTAAAACTTCGAGATAATATGCACCAGTAATTGTTTTGACCAGTTGGAACAAACTCTTTGTGGATAATACGTTTACTATCAAAGAATGTGATGAGCATTGTCTTGATTTTTGATGGAACTTTTCGTACTTTTTTTGCTTGTGGTGAATTTTTTTACTTTCATTCCGCACTTTGACGCTTAGTTTCTGGATCATATTGAAAGCATCATGTTTCATCACCCGTAACAATTGATTTTAGGAAGTTTGGATTATTTTCTGCGGCTGCAACGATGTCTCTGGAATAATTGATTCTCGCTGATTTTTGATCGCTTCTTAATGTGTGTGGAACAAACTTCGCACAAATCTTCGTTTTACCCAAATCTTCATGTAATATGGTTCGAATCGTTTCTGTACTGATATTTAAAGCCTCCTCCATCATTTTTAGTGATGCATTGCGATCGTTTGCAACAAAATCACGTACTTTTTCGAGTGTTCGAACCAAAATTGGCCATCCTGATTTTTTGTCATCTTCAAGGGTCTCTGCCTTCCAAAAAACGCTTATGCCATTCAAAAACAGCTGTACGACCTAGACATTGACTGCCGTAAACTTGTTGCATCGATCGGAATGTTTCTGATGCACTTTTACCAAGTTTTGCGTTAAATTTAATCACTGCTCTTTGTTCCATATTAAAATTTCTACCTCGACCAAAATCTTGTTTAACATGAATTCTCATATCTTCGTTATATGTCAACCAAAATGAATAAAACTTTGACAGATGATAGCAAAATGTTCAATCTTTAAAATGCATGTTTGAACGCACAGATGTCGCCACTGGTTGCTGAGATGTGGTTCGTGTCCGGGAATATATTTGTCGCTTTGTGTATATATTAGAATCATTTATCTTGTAATCAACTATTTATAACATCTCTGATCGTGAGATACACACGCGAGCGCACATTATCACACACATATTCCTATCATGCTTATTATCTTTTTGTATGTTATTATTAATAATGGTATTTGCATAAATATGTTTCTATAATTTTGTAATGTTTGAGAATATAAAGAATATAAATTATTTAATTATAAAATTATTAAAAATTATAAAAAAAGTTTTTTTTACTTGTTATTGCTATACAAGTGAAAATTGCAATTTTTTACTTAATTAGTTTTTTGTCTATTTAAAGTCTGCGGTAAAAAATATTTTTTTCATTTATAATAACATTTCATATATCAAAACATCACTATACAAAATTATGTAAAAATTTACATAATTATGTGTAATTTATTATAAAATTAAATGTGTGACATATTCCGTATACATATATAAATCTTTAGAATATGTATTATTATATAATATTTCAAAAAGTATTTGAATGAACAAAATTATTGTTCTAGAATTTTTTGCAGAATGATTCTTGCAGAATCTAACGCGTTCAAAATATAAAATAACAAGTCAATAAGACTAACTTAATCTTTTTCATTTCTGTAGTCACTTTCAAAGCAAATTTGTAATATATATTTTACATATATATATTTTATGTAACATTTAATTTTTCATTTAAAAATTATAATTCTTAATAATCTACAAATTGATATTATTATACTTTTTATCAGGCATAATAGTGCTGTTCTTTTTGTAAATGTATAATTGCAGATAAAATGTTGTGTGGTGAATTATTCACAAATAATTTCCTGTCTTTAAAGTTTGGAGATCTGTTCTAATTTAAAACATTACAATTTTTGTAGCAAAATCGAAATATCCGTTTTTGTAATATTTATGTTGTAATATGCAATATTGTTTGTATTTGTAATATTAATTTCAAAAATATATGACAAATGAATATTTGGCCATCTTTCTCAATATAGGTATGCTCTTCAATGTCTACTAATAACACGTTTGCTGGTACAATATTCATCGCGGAATGACGTGTCTTTTGAGTGATCTTATCTCTTTTAAAATATAACAGATAAAAAATTTTTTATACATAATTATGCATAAACGGTTGTACACAATTTATAACCGTTACAAACAAACTACGTATAAATTAGTCATGTATAACTGTTTAAATATAATTATGTACAAACATTTTTTAGCTGATATATTTTTAAAGAGATAAGATCACTGAAAGACATGTCATTCCGCGATGGATATATTATACCAACAAACATGTTACTGAGTCGTTGAAAGTCGTGTCTATAATGAGGAAGATATTAGGAATGATACATCCATTTGTCATTTTGAAATTAATATTACAATTACAAACAATATTGCATATTACAATATAAATGTTACAAAAACAAATGTCTGGAAATTGTTATAGAAATTAAATCTTTACAAGTTTTAGATTAGAACAGTTTGAAGTTTAACGAGAAATTACTTGTGAATAATAATCTGTTCACATTTTACCTTGCAATTTACATTTACAAAACAAATAAAAAAAACAGTGCTATTATGTATTATAAAAAATATAATATAAATTTGTAGATCATTAATAATAGTTGAGTATAAAAATTAAATATTTAATGCATATATGTATATATATATATATATATATACATTACAAATTTTGCTCCGAATGCTTCAAACGATTATAAAAAAACTCATAAAAAAGTTATTTTTATGACGACTTGTTATTTTATATTTTAAATGTGTTAGATTCCACATTATTCTACATGAAATTCTAGAATAAAAACTTTTTTCAGCATTCAAATACTTTCTGAAACATATTATATGACATATTCCAAAGATCTTTTGCGCTGAACACAATGTTGTTGATAGAATTTGTATAGTTTATCAAGATTTTGTGTGGGAATAAAATGAACAAAAAATAACATTTTTTTGTAATTTTAACATTTTTTATAGCAAACAATATTAATGAAATGAGCTGAAAAGTATTTTAACACAAACATTTATAAAGTAGAAGCAAATTATTTTTAATCAAAGTGAGTTTGGTGTTCAATAATATTCATATATACAAGTGATTATACAAATACAATTATACAAATACAATTTTTTACAATAAAATAAAAAGTTATTTTGAAATTATGTCTACGGAAACAATTATAACTTAATGAAAATAAATGATATGTTCGTATCCTAAAATTTATTTGAAAACTCTTGAATTACTTTTAGACCCGATAAACTTTATTTAAAAATAAGATTGTTTTGCTGTAAAAGATATTGAAAACAATAAAAAATTCCATTTTTTACCCATTTCATCTCAATTTACCCAAAATTCTGATTACACAAATTTTACCAATAGCATTGTGTTTACCAAGAAAAAATTTTCGGGATATGTACATTGTACTTCGGAGAAAAAGAAAAGTAACTTTTTATCGGACAGTGTAATAACCATATGCAAACAACTAATAATGATAAACAATAAACGTGCAAGATAACAAACTCAATAGCACTATTTCTTTAGAACTAAATAAATTTTTTGCACTAAAGGAAACTTTTATAAATTAATAATTTCTTAATTATTTCATAATAATTTCTTAATTAATTACAATTAAAATCGGACATTAAAGGACTATTTTATTTTTGCCTTTTCTTTTATTTATCTCTGCATTTATTTTTAATATATGAAGTACTTTTCTTTACAATATTACCATATAATTACTTCAAGAACGAATAGGCCTGTATAAAAGTACTTAATATATTCCTGTATTTAAAACATTGTGTTCTCAAGTTAAATATAATAAGAATTTTATTAATTTATAATATAAACTGAAGAACACAAATTGACAAAAAACGATAACAAAATTATATTTGCTGGTTTGAAACTTTTAACCATTGTATATCGTAAATACCAGTGAACGAATTTATTTGCACACACAAAATTTTGATTGTCACGACTTGTCTCTGAAATATTTAAATCCTTCACTTGCTCTTCTATTGTCTGATAATGAACACTAAAGAGGTCTTCCACATCTATGAGTACCATATTCATATTCTTAAACTCTGGATCGTTCGACGTATCCAGTGATTGATAATCGGTAACTTTATATTTGTCATCTATCCATTTAAATATTTTTCCAGAAATATTTGCAGGATAATCAGATACTCTCTTGACACCAACTTTAAGATTTTCTATGTCCAGAAACTTATTCACATGCTTCGTGACATTTTCGGTCTAAAATATTCAATATATCTTTTAAGTTCTTTAATAAATTTTCTTTGATTTTTTGCTGATATGAACTTCTTAAGAGTCGATAGACTAGAACTCTAGATTTAAAATAAATTTTACAATGGGCCTAAATTAAATTTTATATACCTAGAGCTCTATGACAGGAGAACTGGATGACAAGAGAGACTATTTAATGAACTCTGTCGAAGATAGATTTCTTTATGCTGAAATTATAATTAAAGTATTAAGAAAGTTACTGTAATTACAATATTCATAATCAGGAAAGTCATCTAAAACCGCATTCACAGCATATTTTTTTAAAAGAGTAACGAAAAAATTTATACTCTAATATCTTACTTAATCTGCACTATAGTTGAGGTGCAAATTATTTTTTATGTTTTATTAAAAATTAAACTGCAAAACCGATTCTGTACTCGCCTTTGTAACTTCATAAACAAAAAACTGAAAAAGTCTCAAGACGCAATGTTATTTCTAAGAAATAAAATAATAATATGAAGACATAAACCCGTATTAAATTAAAGAATGCATAAATTAAGCATTTGTACATATTATATATAAATAAACTAATTACAATTAAAAAACATCGATTTACATACTTGATGGTTTCATTTTCTTGAATAAAGTATGTATGTATGAATACATAAATTTGAAATGATCGCATTTCGAGTCAAAATAGATGAGAGTTTGCGATACTTTATAAATCTAGTGACATTAAAATTGCCCGTACACTACCGCCAATATCCATTTTTGGTTTGGGAACTATTTGACTACATACATTTTCTGATCTGTCGATAAAATCGAAAGTGAATGAGGTTCGTGTCTGTAATACATCCACAGAATAGAAACGTACCGACTATTCTACATACGGAGAAAAGAGAAGATTCTCTTATAGAGAATAAATTTTTTTCGTTAACTATACCCGCAGAATATCTTGTTGATCAAATATGTCTTTCTGTTAATTATAGATGCATTCTATTTATATGGCTTTTAGCGACACGTTCAACTTGAGTTGAAACTGATAATTTTGATAAAATATTTTACATATTGAAATTATGTGCACAATATAATGCTCTTTGTAAAGTGAAGATAAGTAGAGAGGGGCTCGTTGGCATAAGAGACAAATTGGCATTGCGTTCTATTTATAAATTTATAATAAAGGAAATAATAGAAAAATTACTGCAAAATATTTCTTTTACAACATAGATACTTCTTCCTAAGTTTCATTTAAATCAAATAAGTATTACAATAGAAAAAATTCTGATTCAAGAGCAGGCAAGAAAATTTTTAAGCATTTCATAATTTGGTATTAATGTTCTTCAGCTTAAAAAAGCAAATCTAATAAGTGATGTATTATTAGTTAAAAGAAAAGTTTTTTGTAGTAAACAATACGTTATTTTGAGTAACAATGGTAATTTATTATAATAAGATGATCATGTGTGTAGGGTACGTTGGCTCATAAGAAAAGATTAGGATAACTCGCTATACCGCACATGTGAACATTCAGTTATAATTTAACTCTGACAAAATTTATATTTAATATTTCTATTAGGTTTTGATGAAAATGCATCAAAATAACAGCGAGAATTTAGTTGCGCACCTAATATATCAAAAGAAGATAAAATTGAAATAATATATTATTACTTATTTTTCTATAACAACATTTTGCTATTTAATCATTACAAAATAACTGTTAAAGATACAATTTTTATTAAGAAGTATGTATCTACTATCTCATTTTTATTCCTATTACTTTTCTATTACGTTTTTGATAATTTAATGTAGGATTTATCGTAGAGGCAATTTATTATTGTGATATTATATGTATCAATTTACTCCACATATCGGGGCAATTAATTGCAATGCAGCATGACCACATTTTATTGCAAAGAAACTATACAGTGTATAGAGTCATTAATGATATAAAAATATAGAGAAAGGTTCTCTCTATATTGATATATATTAATTATAATAATATATTAATTATAATAATTCATTGTTTAAAAAAATTTAATGCCGAAATTGTGAAAACTGTGCTAACTCGGTCGACCCTACAATTATTCTAATAAATATAATTTAGTAGTGTGAACATAAAACGTTAAATTTAATTTTATTATTATTTTTTATTTTTTATTCTTAATCAATATAATAAAATTCAGGAAAGGACTAATGAGAATCAAACACAAATGTAAGAGCGAATATTTAGGAGATGCAGATAATAATCAGATATGGTATTATGAAACATTCAACAAAATAAATAAAGATGATTATTAATATGATTATTATCTAATTATCTATTAATATGATTATTATCTGATTATCTTTACTCACTTTGGAGTCATTCTCAGCGAATATAGCAGCAAAAAATCTTCCATCGAGAGCAAGTCACTTGCAAATTGGTAGAGATAAAGCAATCAATACGCTAAATAAATTTAAATCTATCATTATAATCACTTAGTCAAAATTTAAAACACGAAATAATAAATCGAAGTGATTCATCTAGTACGTTTTATTACATATTGTAGATGATTACTTGTGACGGAATTTACATAGTGAAGAGAATCCGAACCAAGGATCGAAATTTTTGTAAGTTAAAAAAAAATATATATATTAGGTGTTGGAATTAATTCGTAGCGTTTTACAAGTGATGGGAAGTACTTTCATTAATGTATTTTTTAATGCTCATGTGAAATAAATAACATTCTTTCATTAAAAAACGCTACGAATTAATTCCAATACCTAATATATAATATATATATGTATATATATATATATATATATAATGTGTATATATATATATATATATATATATATATATATATATAGAGAGAGAGAGAGAGAGAGAGAGAGAGAGAGATTTCTATCAAAAAAAC